CAAGTTCACAAAGCCTTGCTTCTAGGATGGACTGCAGTTTCGACCTCGTCTAGGGCTCATCAGCACCCCCTGCGGGACTCGAACCATGAAAGTGCAGCGTGTGATATCGACACGTTGACCACTGCGCTAATTTGCCACGAATGCCCTTGGGTCACAGGGCAGATGTGAATTTCAAAAAAACATATGCCTTTCCTGCATCACAGTTCTGTTGTGGCAATGTCGACGAAGCAAGGCTATACTACTTATTTTTCGTTTATAAGTAGGTCTTCGAGACTACTAGTATATCATGTATATAAAATGTATTCACCCGATTTCTTTCAACCCAACGGGACTCGAAATTGTGTCTACAGGATAACAATCGGTAGTTCATTCGATTACTCTTGCAAATAAAACTTTCATTCATCGACAATCCCAATACAGAAAGTGATATGGGAAAGGCCTGTCCACCTTTGACATTCACGTCTGCTCTGTGACCCATGGGCTCTCTTGGTAGTCTTGTGTAGGGATTTAAATGTCGAGAGAATATGCTGAACTTACACAAACCGAGTTCGAGTCCCGCCTAAGTTGATGCTGAGACGAGTTAAGGCGAGCTCTAAACTGCAGTCCATTTTAGCCTAGATGAGGATACCTTTTGGAGAGCAAGGCTATATGAAATCCAATGGTAGCACGAGGCCTACCCATCTGATTATGGGAAAATTTAGTTTCCGGTACTTTTCTCACTGAATATGGTCGCTAAATATAATAACTAACTAAATAGATAAAATAAAATACATTAAACATAAAAAAGGGTCATTAACTTTTGATGACATAGGAGAGAGGCTAATCTTTGTGCTAATTACTTGCTGTGCTCGTATTCTTAAGAATGCATAAACTCCCATACACGCACATTCATACACGTACACATTTCCTAGATGGACAAAGGACATGAACTGACAAAACCATTCCATACATCATCAAATGTCATTGTCCTAGGGTGTGTATACAGCATGTATGAATAACACGACGGACAAAGGTTTAGTTAGTCTGAGAGTTTCAGGGTGGTTTGAAGACGGGTAGTTGAGTTTGCCGTTTATTCAAGGCAAATGATATTTTTGACTAAATAAATTAGTTTTTGCCGATGCAAGCAACCAGGCTACTTACACAGGCGCTAACCCATGAATCGTGTTGACTAGTCAGATTGAAAAATTTGTAAAAATGATGCAATACCGGTTGTTTGCCAACCCACCAACG